AGAGAGAACCCACCAAGACCATGTCCAGTGAGAGAGGGGTTATTCTGCAAACCAGGAACTAAGTTGTACTATAATTAGTAAAGATGGTACTCCCTAATATATCCTGGTGGGCCTAGTTTGGTCACCAAAAGTTCCATGTCCTAGGAAGCCCCTTATTCTCAGGCAAACTGGGAAAGCTGATCACCCTCCAGCCAAAAGGGAGGTAGACCAGAGTTGGCCATTGAAAAATCCCCAAAAGGCAATACCCACAAGTCTTTTTTTTTTTTTTTGTACAGGGGATTGAACTCAGGGACCCTTACCACTGAGCTACATCCCCAGTCTTTTTTATTTTTTAATTTTGAGGCTCTCTAACTTTCTTAGGGCCTTGCTAAATTGCTGAGGCTAGTCCAAACTCGCAATCCTCCTGCCTCAACCTCCCAAGCTGCTGGGATTATAGACGTGCACCACCGTGCCCAGCCCCCACATCCCTAGGCCTTTTTTATATTTTATTTAGAGACAGGGTCTTGCTGAGTTGCTTAGGACCTCACTAAATTGTTGAGGCTGGCTTTGAACTCGCAATCCTCCTACCTCAGCCACTGTGCCTGGCTACACATAGATATCTAACATCCTATATTATGATATTTGCTGTGCTCTGAATCTGGTGGCTCTGAATCTTCTCTGTAGTGACTTTTACCCTCAGCCTGAAGGGAGGCTGGAACTCCTAAGGAATTAAACAAAACTGACTAAATTTGAACCAAATTTACTGAATGAAGTACCAGAGAGGCTCAGTGTCTTGTTAAATGTCAATCAGATAATAAGTGCTAGAGTCACACACTCCCACCACAATGTATTTTGCCACCATGGGCCCAAAGCAACAGAGCCAATGTCATGAACTGAAACTTCCAATACTGTGGACTAAAATAGAACGTTTCTCTTTCTAAGCTGATTATGTCAGGTATTGGTCATAGCGGCAAAAAGCCGATGGCCACTGTGCGCTCCTGTCCCCCCTCCCCTCTGTCCTCTCCCTGCATCAGGCTTCCACGGCTCTACAGATTCCGACTTCTGCCTGCTTCTCTCACCCACATCCAAGCTCCTCCTCACCCCCTTTCTCACCAACTCCAGCCATCCTAGCCTTTCATCTGTACTTCAGACTATTCAGGTTCATGGAACTAGCTGTTGGCTCTGATGAAATATTCTTCCCCCATCTCCACACGCTGACCCTCCTCATCATCCAGGTTTCAAACTAAACATCACCAACTGAAGGCTGCTCCCTTGACAGCTGAGCTACTGTTGCTGGTGACCATCTCATGAGAGTTTCCAGGGAGATAACCCCCATCCTGAGGTTGCCTTGAAGTAACCTCGGAGCTGGGCCCAGGAAGGCTCCCCATCAATAGGACTAACGTTTCTGCCTCTATGTGAGCTCATCAGTCTCTAGTTGGGCTAAGAGAAGGAATAATAGTATTCCAGGAAGAGGGAACACGGGGGCTGGAGGCCCAGAGCAGTGAGCTGGAGCTGCAGGAGGAACTACAAGTCAGTCTCCCTGGATTTCAGAGGGCTGAGGAGGAGGTGAGAAGTTAAGCCAAACCACAAAGGGTTTTGTAAGTCTTGCTAAGGTGGTGAGCTTGAGCCTAAGGGTAACAGGAAATCATTAAAGAGTTTGAAGAAGGTAGTGATATGGTCAGATCTGCATTGAAACAGAAAACCACAGTAGGTAAAAGATGCTTCTCGGGATGTAGAGCTCTGTCCTAACCTAAACCCCACATCCTCTCCCCGATGTCTCACTGTGTACTTCTAGTTGTTGCTCTTAATGGAATTCCAAAGAGGGTGCAGGATGCAGGAGCTTTGGCAGAAATCTCCTCACTCCTATCATGAGTTGACCACCACCTCAACAATAGTTAGCCATGCCCAAATTCCCTAAACCTGTGAATTATTTTGGAAAAGTTAAGAATCTTGAAATGAGATCACTGAGATGGCCTAGATGGGTCCTACATCCAACGGTCAGTACTATGGTTAGGATCCTGAATATCCCCAAAGGCCCACAGGTTGAAAGCTTGGTCCTAGACCTATGGCACTGTTGGAAGGGGGTAGAACCTTTAAGAGATAGGACCAGTGAAAGGAAGTTGGGTCATGGGGGGGGCGTGCCCTTAAAGGGGATGTGGAGATCCTGGCCCCTCCTCTTCTGTTCTCTTCCTTTGCTTCCTAACTGCAAGGAGGTAAGCAGTTTCCTCCACCATGAGCTCCCACCACAGGCCCAGAAACAATAGGCCAAGAGACCATGGACTGAAATCTGCAAAACTGCTGGCCCAAATCAACTTTTCCTCTGTGTGTGTGTGTGTGTGTGTGTGTGTGTGTGTGTGTGTGTCTGTTTCATAGTGGGGATTGAACCCAGGGATTTTCACATGCCAAGCCAGGCAAGTGCTCTACCACTGAGCTACATCCCCAGCCCCCTCCCTTTAAATTGATTATCCCAGGTACTTATTAGAGTTACAAAAAGCTAACTAAGGCAGTAAGTGTCCTTATAAAAGACAGAAGAGGAAGAGGCCATGTGAGTGTGGAGGCAGAAATTAGAATGCTAAGCCATAAGCCTAGGGATCAACCATCCCCAACAGCCACCAGAAGCTGGAAGAGGCAAAGGACATTCTGTCTTAGAGCCTCTGCAGGGAACATGGCCCTGATGACACCTTGAGTCCAGACTTCTGGCTTCTGGAGGCATGAGACAATAAATTTCTCTTGCTTTAAGCCACTTGATTTGTGGTCATTTGTTACCACAGCCTTGGGAAACTAAAGAAACCCAGATCTCTATCTAAGAAGCTTCATCCTCACTCAGGGCCTTTTACCACCTGGTGGATCCATATCATTTAAACTTTGCAAATAGCATGTGAGTTGGACTGTAAAGGCATCCTGAATTTCATCAAGCACTAAGAGCATCCGACTGGTCACAAAGGTTCCCTGAAAGGTCTTCTGTTTATATTGAAACCAGAGTGATTTGCAAAACTGGGTGCAGGTGGCACGTGCTGATACCCCAGCTGCTTGAAAGACTGAAGCAGGAGAATCCCAAGTTCAAGGCCAACTTAGGCAACATATGAGACCTCATCTCAAGCAAAGGAAAGGGTGGTTTGCAAAGAAATGAGATAAATCCAAGGTTTCAAACTGATTGCCAGCAGACTTCCTCTGTAATATATAGACATAATGATTTTTTATTGGAAATGAGAGAATACATATAGACCATTCAGCACAGTGCCTAATCACAGTACCCGTGGTCACAATGCTAACAGTGGAAGGAACTACTGCCACAGTTAAAACAGGACCCGGCTCCTCTCACCTTTGGCCAGTGGCTCCTCTTTCCTGTACCTGTTTTCCTGCTCGCCAAACCAAGGCAGTCCACCAGTTCCATGGTTGCACCAGGATGCAGTATAGACAATGCATCTTTCTGAGACAGCCACCCAGGAAGAAAAGTCAAAGTTATGGTCACTTGTCCCTGTTTGTTTTGTTTTGGGAGATACTGAGGAATGGATCCAGCAGTGCTCCACAGCTGAGCTACATCCCAAGCCCCTTTTATTTTATCTTGAGACAGCGTCTCTCTAAGTTGCTGAGGCTGGCCTCAAACTTGTGATCCTCCTGCCTCCACTTCTGATATCACAGGTGGGCAATATTACTCCTGGCTTATTCATAGTTATTAAGCATTTGTTTTTTGCAAAAAACCAGGCAGATTTCAGGAGATACAGAACCTTGGCATTAGCTCTCTCCTGGGGCATTTCTGTCAATGAAATGTCTTTAGAAGGTCCCTTTGGACTGGGTGAAGGAGAGACAGAGGAGGAAGAAAAACACTGAGAAAGGAAGGCATCCACTGAGCCTGGTTAGTTAAGAAGAGATTTGGAGTGAGACACAGTGGCACACGCCTATAATCCTAGTGGCTCGGGAGGCTGAGGCAGGAGAATCTCAAGTTCAAAGCCAGCCTCAGCAAAAGTGAGATGCTAAGCAACTCAGTGAGACCTTGTCTCAAAATAAAACACAACATAGGGCTGGGGATGTGCCTTAGTGGTCAAGTGCCTCTGAGTCCAATCATCCCGGGTACCAAAAAAAAGAAGCCATCTGGGCCCACTCAGTCCAGGCCCTGCCTCTTGCCTCTTCAGAAGCTCCATAAAGTAAACTCTGTTCCCTGTGTTTGTCTTTCTATAAAATCCTACTCTAAGAAAATCACCTTACAGATTTGTGTATATTGACATGTGACTACTGGGGCTTTCTGCAATCTCATTTTATAATAGGAAAAGCCTTCAAAGAAGTGAATACTTTAAATGGGCAGGGGACAGAGGGCCTTTTCAGTGATTTATATCACATATGGTTGTGTTCCATAGCCTGGCAAGAGGCCACATGAGTGTGCAAGATAGCAGGGGTCCAGGCCTTTTGGGTTTAGTTAGAGGGACTGAGCAGCTTCTGAACCCTCCATCCTCTTCCTGGACATAGGTCAATGGGGAAGGGCATGGTGGGGGAGGGACCAGAACTAAACATTGCCTCTGGGAGGACTTGCCACTGGCCACAAAGGGCTTCTCAGGGAAAGCAGAGTTGTCAGGGAGGAAGGCACAACTGTTTCTTTTCAATGTGATGCAAAGCAGCTATGGTCTTTTAGCTCTTTGGGGGTACCCTCCGCTTCCTCCTTCAGGCCCTCCAACCCATGGGACATTCCAGTTCATGGCCAGTGTGTTCAAGAGAAGTTCATCTCATGGGCAAGTGCAGCAACCTGTGTACTTCCCAGTATTCCTCAACTGTCTCATGGCCTGGGACAAAAGACAGGACCAGAATTATGCTACACAAAAGGCAGGGTGCACAGGGGTGAAATCAGGTTACTAGAGAGGGCCAGAGCAGAGCCAGTGAAAAGGACCAGCAGGGAGTGTCACCTACCCCACACCCCCACATCAGCCCTCCTGGTTCAGGATAGTGTGGTGTCAGGTGTAAAGGGCCAGGCCTTCAGTAACCTCTGGGAAAGGAGCTCCTCTGTAGAAGAAAGGGACAAGAGCCAGTTCTGGAACACAAACACCAGTATATTTTGATTTTAGATATGAAAAGGAAAAGACAGAGACCAACGGAGACACAGCAGGCAATGGGCACACAAACCAGTTTTATGTGACTTTCTCAGGAGCTGCCCAATGGGAAGACGGTCTCAACCACTTCAACAGCCCCTTTTTGCAGCTCCTCAGAGTCTGGGTGGCCTCAGGGGGGAAGGCATTCTCCCTGCCTTAGCCAGAGCTCAAGGACTAGGCCTCTCCCCAGCCTGTCTCCCCTGGTGTGTGTTCTGCAGTGAAGAGTTTCCTAAGCACAGGCTGTCACACGAGCTGACCCACTCAGCAGCTGCCTCACCAGGAGACCCATGCAGAGCGAGGGACCAGGACAAAAGGGCTTCATGGGCACCCTCTAAATATTATTGCTATGAATAAGCATAGGCCATTGTGACTCACTGGCACTGAGGAAGGACAGCACAGGAAACCTAGCAGACATTCAAAGCAGCTCAACTGTGAGAAGCAGCACATCTGCAATCTAACTTGAGAGACGGTGCCACAGTCTGGAATGGCCCAGGACACCAGAGGTTCCTAAAGAGCAAGCAGACTCTCTCCACCAGCACCCTCGCTGCTTGGCAGGGCTAGGATTACCCCAAACTTTAAGGCCCTGAGCACTAAAGGATTGGACACCTGAAGATACCTGCCCCCACAAAAAGCAATGGTGCTTCTACTATTCCTGGTGAGATCTGAACCTTGCAGATTATGTGGTCAGGCTGAGGGTTGTAGCCTTCTCTTCTTGGGGGCTCGGTGCCCTATAAGAGGACATAGGAGCAATGGGACACCTAGGCCCACAATACAGAATGGTGCCAGGGATGCATGCTCACTCCGGGAACTCCTGCATTTGATATTTATAGGACCAGGAGAGAAAATGGGACCAAGGAATGCCCACAAGGCAACATATGGAGTGGTGAGACCTGGCAGGCCATCTAAGGGCTTGCTCTAGCTGACAAGTAGGGAGGGCTTGTGCTGGGAGACCCTGAGGTCTCTGGCCACTGAATTCAGTTGTACAAGGGGAATGTAAAGGTGGTGGCTGGAGGGTCTTTAGGGTGCAGGAGAATGAGACACCACAGAATTGGGGGGACCAAGAAAATGAGTGTCCGGCAATAAGGAACCATCTGTATATGGACAGCAATACACCCCCACTGGAAATCTGACTCCCTGTAACCCCCAAAATCCTAGAATTAGGGCCACAATAATAGGACCATCACCCACAGGATGCAGTTCTCAATTTGACGAGCCAGCACAGGAAACAGACATGGAAACACCTTACATCCTGCCCTGGACAGGACAAACTCAGACAAAGGCTACCAGACTATCTCCCAGCCCAGGACACCCCTGCTGTCTGCACAGTCCAGGGGAACAGCCACGAAGAGGAATTTCTCTCCCCAGGTGGTAGCCACTTTTTAATGGTCTATAAGAAGGGGAAGGATAATTTCTACTTCGGTCCTAGTGGTCAAGATGAAACCATGTCCCATGGAATGGTTTGGTTTTTGATGGACCCCTCTCCTCAGAGTGTAGGCAGACAGAGTCAGAGAGGCCTGGAGTGAGGATTTCACCCGTCCACTGCCAGCAATGGACCTGTTGCAGGGGAAAAGAGAGAGAATCAAGATGACGATGCCCACGAGCACAGCAGGGTTAACACTGTGAGGAGCAAGTTCAAAGGGTCAGCCTTGCTGGAGGCGGGGGCAGCCCTGAGGTTTAGCTGCAGAGCTGGGGCCACAGTAGAACCAGAGCTAGTCCTGACCCATGAAAGAGGCTCCAGAGAGCCTTCCACAGTCCTTTTTTCCTTCCTCATTCTCCATGGGTCTCCAACACTGGATACCTGCTCGTCCGCCCCCCAGAAAGCTAGACTGCCTAGAACATAAGCCAGTGACAGCAAACAGGACCTAGAGCTCAGCCTCCGCCACTCCCCATTCAGCTAATTTGCCTCTAGGTTCCAATGTGGATACACAAGGCCCCTCTGGGCTCAACTGTATTCTGGGGGACACAATTCATTTTCAGCAGGGCGCCTGCAGGGAGGGGGACACTGCTCATCAGACAATAACCAGGGAGGCAGAACTGGTGACTGGGCCTCCCCAGTCATCAGGCCAGTGAGAGCAGTGGATGCAAGACCGGAGAAGGCAGATGAAGTCTATGTCAGGGTTCTACCTCTGGCCACTGCTGTGTTGGTTAGGAAGTTGGGAATGGGGCAGGTGGCTGACATGGATAAAAGGGGCACTAGTGATAAAGGCTTTAAAAAAAAAAGAAAGAAAAGGGGAAACACCACCGAACACACAGGGATTGAAACCTCCCAAAGCCCAAGGTTGGTGGGAATCCAGCACCACGGGGGCCCCCAGAAGGCCAAGGGAGCAGAGCAGGACCCTGGGGGAGGGGAGAGGAGCCAGGGAAAGGTTTCCCAGCCCTTGCAGACTAGCATGGTAGCCAAGCAGCCTCCTGGCTGCTCAGTCTCTCTTAGGCTGCAGCTCAGCAGGCCCCCAGGGAGGTATTGGTTGCAAGCAAGCACCTGAATATTGCCTAATGGAACCAGCCAAAGCCCAAATAAATCCAGGCAAGTGGGAGGAAGGTGACCGCAGCAGTAGCCCAAAGCCTCCTCAGAGCTTGCCTCCCACCCGCTGCCCCATTCTCAATGACCCTTAGCCAGGATAGATCCTGCTTCTTCCAAAAAAGCCGACCGTGTAGTCCAACTGTTGCCCATCCAGAAGCCTCCTGCCACCAGCCCCTAGACTGGGGCCAAGATCCATGTACCTTACCAATGTCCTTCTGTTGCCTAGACACCCCACCTCCTAACACTATCCCACCCTGGAGGGTATGGGGCTGTGTGTGCCCTACGAGCTAAAGGCCCAGCTCCGGGAGGGGCTTGTGCTGAACAGAAGGGGTAACCCTGACAGCTTGGTCTCTTTGTACTTGGGTTCCATAAGAGACCTCCCCCAAGCCCTCCCACTTGTTCCCGGACAGTCAGTCAGTCTTGACGTGGCCGTTGGCCAGGGCTGGCGGCCCCCCGGGCTCCCCAGGCTCGGCATCCTTGTCAAAGCGGAGGCGGAGGGTGTTTCGGATGATGAACTGCTCCATGATGAGGGCCCCACAGAACCAGGGCACGGCGTACTCCAGGGTGATGAGGCCCATGAAGTCAAAGTCGAACTGGGAGTAGTCCCAGGGGCAGGCGTTGAACTGGCGCAGGATGAAGCCCGTGGTGAACTCCCACAGGTAGGTCCAGAGCGTGTAGATGAGGCAGCGCAGCAGCAGCGGGCAGCGGCGCCGCAGGCGCAGGTACATGCGCTCCACGATGAGGATGGAGGTGCCGTAGATGAAGAGGGCCCACACGCTCGTGACGCCCGGGAACTTCCAGTTAAAGTTCACCACGAACTCCCAGGCGGCCGTGAACATCACCTCGCAGAAGTAGCCGTGGATGGCGTACAGGTACCAGCGGGACAGCGCCGTGAGCGGCTCCGCAGAAGCCATGGTGCCCCCTGGAGCCTGCTGCTGGGACACAGAGGAGATGCATGAGGGAGGAGGCCCCTGCTGCTGTCTTCCCACCGCCCAGCCCACGCCTCTGGGGTGATCAGGCTGGAGGGGATTTCATCACACCTAACCCTGCCTTTCTCCTTCCTCCTTGGTTACCTACCGTCTTCTGTCAGTTTCTTCCTTTTTCTTTCATTTTTTGGTATCAGGGATTGAACCCAAGGGCACTTAATCACTGAGCCACATCCCCAGCCCTCTACGTTTTTTATTACTTTGAGACAGAATCTCACTAGGTTACCTACAGCCTCACTAAGTTGCTAAGGCTGACTTCCAAACTGGGATCTGCCTGCCTCAGACTCCTAGGCTGGGATTACAGGAGGGCCCCGCTGCGACCCTGGGAGCCTGCTGTCTTCTTGACCTTACTCCATGTTCATTTCTGTATTGCCTATTCTTCCTTAGGCAGTGGGCATGAGAAATGAATGGAAGAAAACAACCAGCTCACTGGCTTCCTCTGATGAACTCTGGGGGTGTCTAGTACACTTAAACTTGATTGACTGATTGATTGTAATCAGTTGAAGTGTTGTCTGTCCTGGCCCACCACCCACTCCCACTTCTAGGCTACTAGCTCTCTTCTCACCAGGTCCATCCACTGGGATCCCATGTCTTCTTTCACTTCTCAAATAGCCCCATGTCATTCACACTTCTGAAATCTAAGAAAACTATCACCTTTCCCTCTCTTCATAACACGTCCATAACACTTACCATTTTAGCCATTTTTCAGTGTACAAGTCAGTGGCATTAAGCACATTCACACTGTTGTACAGAAATCCCCACCATCCACCTCCAGAACCTTTTCATCATCCCAAAGAAACTCTGTCCCCATGAAACACTAACTTCCCATTCCTTCTTCCCTCAGCTCCGTCTCCATAAATTGGAGGTACCTCACCTTCCCATTTTTGTTGTAATCCTGAACTCTCCCATATCCTCCTCTGGAATCTGGAATCAGACAGTATTTGGTCTTTTGTGACTGGCTTATTTCATTGAGCATAATGTCCTCCATATAATGAAGCACGTGTCTCAATCTCCTTCCATTTTAAGGCTGAATAAATTCCATCAGCTATATGGAACACATTTTGTTTGTTCACTCCTCTGTCCATAGACACTGAGGTTGCTTCCATCTTTTGACTACTATAAATAACGCTATGAATATGGGTGTCTGAACATCTCTACAAGACCCTGCTTCCAATTATTTTGGGTCTGTACCCAAAATTAGAATGCCTAGATCATATGGTAATTCTATGGTTAATTTTTGAAGAACTTTCACACCATTCTTCACATTTTACATTGCCTGCAGCAGTGCACAAGTGTTCCAGTTTCTCAACATCCTGGCCAATGTTTGTTTTTATTTCCCCAATAATGGCCATCCTAACAAGACACCTAAAGTAATACCCATTATGGTCACATTTTGTCTTTAACTGCTACATTAAATTGAATTTTGGTGTTTAGTTTCAATGTTGAGGGGAAACCAGTGGATTGAGAGAGTGCTCCCCTTTCCTTCTCCATCCCCCTCCTTTTTTTTTTTAAACCTCAGCAGCCTTCAGGGACTGGCTCTCATCCCATCCTGTTTCCCTGAAGCCTGGCCTGGCCACAGGCCTCTCAGATTTCCCTTCTTCCTCTACCAGAGAGTGTCTGGACCACTGATTAGGCCCATTATCAGATGCCAACTTTTTTACTTTTTGATGTGCATGCCCTTGTGATTTGGCCTGTGAACTCCTTGAGAGCAGTGGCTGTTTTTCAGTTCCATTTTTCGATCATTGGCACAGGTCTCTCCTGAGCAGAACTCTCTAAATGATATGTCCTATTTAGGCAGAGGGGGATATGGGAGAGTTCAGGATTACAACAAAAATGGGAAGCTCTGGTCAGGCATGGGAGTGCACACCTCTAATCCCAGCAATCCCGGAGACAGAGGCAGGAGGATCATAAGTTCAAGGTGAGCCATGGCAATATAGTGAGACTCTGTCTCAAAATAAAATAAAAAGGGCTGGGGATGTAGCTCAGTGATAGAGTGCTTACCTAGCATGCTCAAGGCTCTGGTACAAAAAAAAAAAGAATAGGAAAAACTCTGCCAGCTTCCAAAGAATTTTTGGCTTAACATGTGTCATCCCTTTTCCAAGATGGGCCAGGGAACTGAGAGGTTAAGAAAATGATATCTGCAGTTTGCCCACCTGTCTGGGAATGCCAGCCTCATCTTTCAGATAACACAGGCCATGTTGCAACGATACCTGCTTCCCCTTATGCATTGCACTGTGCTCTTCCTAGCATTTTTTTTTTTTTTTTTTTTTTTGGTGTGTGTGTGTTTGTACTGGGAATTGAGCCCAGGAGCACTTTACCATTGAACTACATCTCCAGCCCTTTTCATTTTTTACTTTGAGACAAGGTCTTGCTAAATTGCTTAGGCTGGTCTTGACCTTGTGATCCTCCTTGGCTCAGCCTCCCAAGTCGTTGGGTTTACAGGGGTGCACCACCGCACCTGGCTATATCATGCTCTTTCCTGGACACCTCCACCTAAATGTCTCCTTCCCTAAATCAAATTCATTCTTTTTCCCCCCATCAAACCTATTTTCCTCCTCTAACCCCATTCTGATTAATGACATCACCATGCACCCAGTTAGAAGCCAGAGGCCCTGAATCACTCTCTCTTCCCCTTTCACATCCCCCACCCCCCACCAACCCCCAACCCAAGTTTCTGAGTAAGGTTATTTGTGTGGTTCAGCACTGCCATCCCAGTCCCTGGCATGGTGCCCGGTACTCAGTTGCACATTCAACACAAGAATAAGAACTTTTTCTAATTGGTTAGCAATGGCCACCTAACAATCATTCCCAAACTAGCCTAAATCTCCTATCATTTACTATTGCAGCTCTGTGGGTTGGCAGATCTTGGCTGGCCTTGATCATGAGGCTGTGAGTCATCTGGGTCTCTGTTCTATGCTTGGCTGGGACGTTTAGGGGGTGGCTGTCCTCCGCCAGTCTTTTGTCTTCCTGCGAGGCCAACTGGACTAGGCTGGGCATACCCTTCTAGGTAAGGACAGCAGCACAAGAGCAAGCAGGCCCAACTACACATTATCAGGACTCTGGTCAAGGAGGGGAAAGGAATAGCGGGAGAGACGATGACTAATGGGTATAAGGGTAGAGCAGAATAGGAGGAATCATCTCTAATGTTCTGTAGCACAGCAGGGTAACTGTGGTTGACCACAATTAATTATACATTTCAAAACAGCTATTAGAAAGGATTTTGAATGTTCTCAAAAAATGATAAATATTTGAGGTGATGGATATACCAATTACCCTGACCTGATCATTACACATTGTATACATGTCTTAAAATGTCACACTGGGGCTGGAGTTGTAGCTCAGCAGAAGAGCATTTGCCTCTTGTGTGAGGCACCACGTATAAATAATCAAATAAAATAAAGGTCCATCAACAACTAAAAAAATGTCACACTGCAACCCATAAATATGTACAATTACTATGTGTCAATTCAAAACAATTTTAATATTAAAATCCTTTTTAAAAATCTCAACAATAAAAAGATAATCCAAATTTTAAAGCCTGATTAAGGCATCCCGCTATCTCATTGGTCAAGGCAGATCATATGGCAAAGCCACTAATTCCTGCCCTTTCTATTTGTTACATCTCTTTGGAATCAGTCTCCTCCTCATTCCTCTCTTCTCATTGTTGCTAACTCTGGTTCAAGCCTTCCTCATGTCTCACCTGGATAACTCTGAAAGTCTCCCCACTTTGCCCCCTCTCAATTCAAATCACAGGACTGATGTGTATAGAAAGCCAATCTGTCTCAAATGCCACTTGAGGTTTCTCCCCACTTGAAACCTACCAATATCACCAACCCTGAGGATGGCTAGCAAAGCCCTTCACAACCCAGCACTGCCTTCGAGCCTGACCTCTGAATCTCTACCTTGCAGCTTTTGTTACCTGGGATGCTATTCCCGTCTGCCATCATCCGCCATGGCCCATGAACCCACAATCCTCCCCAAGACCCCAGAGTTATCTGCTGCCCTCTCTGCTTACCTGTCTGTGGCTACAGAAGCACAAGGCTTTGTCATGATTCATCTGAAGCCCAGCTTGAGTAGCCACTTGAGAAACATTTCTTACAATATTAAAAGAAAAGGGCAGGATTCAAAACTGAGTATTTAACATGACTGATTTTGCAAAGGTGTACATCCATGTAAATACCCCCCCACCAAAATCAGCAAAAATCACCTGTGGATGGTAAAAACATATGTGATTCTTCCTTGTACTTGTTTTATGTATGATCTTAAAATGTTTCCTAAGAAGCAAGTAAAAATAAAATGTTATCTTATAAATGCTTGCTGGGGCTGGGGATGTAGCTCAACAATACAGTGCTTGCCTAGCATGTGCAAGCCCTGGATTTAATCCTTAGGACTGAAGGGGAAAAAAAAAAATAAAAACTTTGTTAATGAATATGTCTTAATATTCTTTGGATCTTGTATACAAAAGATGTTCAAGAAATTTGCCAAACAAATGGACCTCAGGAACTCTGAAGTCAGTAAAATTAATGCAGATTCTTCCCTCCTGAGTCTTTCCCAACAACAAACTATGACCCAGGCCTGAATGTGGGGTGGGGTTAAGCTCAAGGGCCTGGGTCCTAACTGCCTGGGTCTGAGTCCTGACTGATACTCACCACCTGAGGGATCTAAGGCAAGTTACCTGATTGTTCCACACCTCGGCTTCCTTACAGATAAAAGAAGGATAATGGAGTAACTATCACAGGCTACTGTGAAGATGAATGAGCTGCTAGATATGTAGTACTTGGCAGAACGTGGTGGTGCATGCCTGTACTCCCTGGGGAGGCTAAGGCAGGATTGCCCAGTACAAGGCCAGCCTTGGCAATTTAGCAAGACACTGTCTCAAAATACAAAATAAAAAGGGCTAGGGATATAGCTCAGTGGTAGAGCTAAAAATAAAAATAAATAAACAGGGTATACACACATACTTCTTTACTACAGCAAACACTCCAGAAAGTGTAGCTGTCCCTTCTGGCACAGAGACAGGCTTCTGGACAGGCCCTTCTGCTTTGAGCCATCTCCTACCTGAGGCAGGATCTCTGTGCCCGAAGCCCTCACCTGCCAAGCAGGTTAGATCTTTCCCCCTATCTAGAGCACCAAGCCAATGAATTAAGAAACCATGTGAAAACAATAATCCCACATACAGCACTCCCTCGGGGTGCAAAAACTCCCGCACGTAGAGCTTAGGACAGTCAGTGGGAGCTTCCAGTGACTTGTGGCGGTGGGGTGCTGAATTAAAAGGGAAGGACATCAGAACCAGTCCTCTGAGGATTAGGCTTGAAGAGAGGGTAGAACAAAAGGGTGAACATTCCTGGTGCATTAGGATTAGGCTTGAAGAGAGGGTAGAATAAAAGGGTGAACATTCCTGGTGCATTAGGATTAGGCTTGAAGAGAGGGTAGAATAAAAGGGTGAACATTCCTGGTGCATTCTCTCAAACTCTCATTTTATCCTGAACCCCCACTACCCAGGTGAGCCAGAACAGTCTCAGGCTCTAGGGAAACACAAGAAAGGCTGATAGCCCTGAGGTGGGTGGCCCAGGAACAGTGATTCAGAGATCCCTGGGCCTCCTGCCCTATCTCAGTCCTGCCCACCTGATCTGCACACAAACCCTGTTCCCCAGGAGGAAAGGGCAGCCCGGCATCCTGGGTAGGAAAGGGGCTCTCACTCCTGACATTCCCGGATCTCCTCTCCTACCAGCCCCCACCTTCGTGCTGATTTTAAACCATGCTCTCCTTGTCTCTGATCTCATCTTCCTGGGGTGACCAAGAATGGTTTTCCAGCTAGGAACAAACCAGAGGCTCCCAGGTGACCTGGAAGAAGGGGACCCCAAAACCTTGTCAGCAGAAGCAAGATAAAAGGGGTAGCCATCAAAGGGAGAGAGGAACCTGGGGTTAAAGAGGGCAGGCTCTAAACAGAAGAGAGGCTGGGAGGTGAGAACAGGGGGAGCCCAGGACCAGACTCTATTTCTGGGCAGCAGGAAGCACTTGGGTAGGTGGGGGCAGGGGGAGGCATACCTAGGCAAGGTCAGACCTTGTCCGAGGGGTTGTGTCAAGAGAACACAGCTGGTCCACACAAGACGGTTGGGGGCAACTGAAAGACCTGGCTGGGGGCAGAAGATAGGGGTGAAGACATAGGAAGATGAGACAGTGTCACTGGGAGGCTACGGTTCAGAGTGGTGGGAGATGTTAAGATAAGGTACAGGGCACGGACTCCCGGTTCGTGTTCTTAGCTCCACTCCCAATCCCACTCCTTATCATCACAGGACCTGTGCCTAACCTTTGAGCCAGGACAAGCTCACCACCCTCTGTTGGACCCCACAGGCCCCAACTCCCTGCCCTGCCCCCCAGCCCCCTTTGCCCCTGGGCCCATTCCCATACCTCCTTGCTCAGCCCTGGAACCAGAGCCCTGGGAGAGCCTGTCGCGGCTAGAACCAGCAGCTCCACGAATGTTGGCCTCTTTTCTCTGGTGACAAACACAACCATCCTGAGGACTGCGACACAAGGTCAGGACAGCCCAGGAAAGAAAATTCAGGGTGGAGTAAAGAGGACAAGCATGGCAGGACTAGAAGCATGAAAAAGCATCTGGAGAGGAGCGGATGGTTTCACAAGTAGGGTTTTGGGAACTAACACTCGATTCCAAGAGCCCTCATGCTTGATGATGAAGGGCTAGGAACACAGTGTTCCTGCAGAGGGCTCGAGGTGATTGGCCAGAGCAGCCAACTACCGTCCACGGGAACAGGTGATGGGGAGGGGAGAGGAGGCTTTCAGTGTCCTGCTCTGAAATGCTCTGAAAGGGTGAAAGAGGGCCTGTCCACCTGTGTGTGCATGGACACTTGCTTCCAGGTGAGATGAGGGGGTCTCACCTGCTGCTCTCTCAGAGCCTGCTGAGCTCATCCACAGGGTGGCTCAGGGCAGAGAGCAGGTGAGACTGCCATAGGAGGCCTGAGATGGGCTGGAGGCAATGCCAGATGGAATGATTGCCCTTGGTTTTGCCAAAAACTCTCATCTAATTCCAGGAAGCTAAGGTGCCACAGCATAATGACTCTGGGAATTTTTGTCCAGAAAAGCAATTTGCTGGAAGATCAAGCCTCCCCTCCCACGCAGCCAGGTTGGACAGGATTTCTTTCACCCCATTTGCTTCTCAAGCTTCACTCCCTGTCCCCAGGCACCTAAATCCATTCTCTGGGGAGACACATAGGCCTTGTAGGAGGCCCCTAAGGCAAAGCTTCTGAGACTCTGGATCCCATCCCCAGGTGGACTCCACACGAGGATCAGTGGAGTCAGTGAGTCAGCTCTCTCCGTCTGGAGTAAGGCCAGAGATCATCCTGAGCGTTCCCTACAGTCCTCAGGGTAGGAGGAGGAAAACCCAGGCTTGCTTCAGGGCTAGAAGGAAAGCAAGCAGAAGGAAACGCTCGTGGCCACTGGTGGGCTCAGATGCCCCTGACCTCGACCATTCTTGCTGTGGGTACCCCCCAGGAGGACCCCCTGAAATCAGGGACACTGCAGGCCTAGATGGGGTCCTCACCTCACCTCCTGTCACAATAATAACGAAACACTTTTCTCAGCGCTTTTCATGCATTGACTCAGATAGTCCTCCAGCCCGTTTTACAGATGGGGAAAGTGAGGAAGCAAGAGGCTAATTGGCCTATAACTAATGGCTACAAAAACAACTCTGGGATTCAAAATCCACAAGGATGGCTCCAGAGTCTTCATCCCTAATCAGCACACTGTTCCTCCTCAGAGGCCGTCTCCAGGCACCCCTAAGGACACTACCATTTTCCAAGCTTCTGGATAGTTGGGATGGCATCTGGAGAATCAATAGGAAGCCAGAAGGATGCACATTGATAGATGGATAATCAGTGAAGGTCAGAACTGGTTCTCAGAGCTACTGAAGGCTCCCAGTCCCTTTCTCAGGCAAGTTCTGGCAGTATACACACAAAGGTCCTTGAAGGTCAAAGCTGACCCTCACAGGACCATCCCTCAGGGCTTCAAGGCATGGCCCAGCTCTCCTACGGAAATGCCAGCCAAGAGCAGCGGCCCGTGTACAGGCTGCCCAGAGGAGCCATCTGCCCAGAGCAGCAGCAGCCAGTGTCAGAAAGAAACATTCCACACAGAGGATTTTTCAGAAGGCTCAAATGCTCAGCAAATCCCAGCTGGGAGGCATGGGGGAGCAGGGTGGGCAAGAAGGCTAAGGGAATGGATCCACAGCTCAGGAAGCAAAATAGCTTCCCTGTCATTCACATCATCCTGTTTTATTTTCTTCATAGAACTTTCACTATTTATCTATGGTCTTTTCCTCCCCAATTAGAATGAAGGCCCCTTGAGGCCCTGGGCTTCGTTTTCACTGCTGGGTGATCATTGCCTAGATCCCTGCAATAAGACCTGTGAGGGACGGATGGGGGATGGATGCATGAGCACAAACAGGCCCACACTGAAAATTTTAATTCTAGTATTTAAAAATGTATTATTAGGGGGCTCAGAATGTATCACAGTGGTGAAACACTCGCCTAGCAAGAATGTAACTTAGCAAGCAAAAACCTCTCCTAAGCCCACATTTTAAAGAAGGTCACTATTAATGTTATATTCTTCAGTCACCCAAATTGAATGGTTTTAAAAGAGGCTGATCCACGCATCATAGAAAGGAAAAGCATTCCTAATGAAACCAACCAACCATCATCACGTGCCACTGCAATCGTTCCCCATGTGCGTATTCTACAAGTTACCATAATGTATTCATTCTATAACCCGACATTTTCACTTATTGTATCAACATTGTTTTCCAAGTGGTTTTGTAGCCATATGTGCTTGTAATTAGAGTGGCTATGTAATATTCCACCAAGTGGAAAGAAAAACAATTTACTTAACCAAGATGTTCAGCAAAGAAACAATTATGCCCCATTTCTGCTATTACAGACGACATTCCAGAAATATCTTTTATGCCTGTTAACAAAAGAATTTAGCCATTTTCTTCTTTGAGACTACTTGCTAATGAAAGACTTCAGAGTGAATAATTCCAGAAATGGAATCACTGGACCAAAGGGTAAAAAAGCCTTAAGGCTCATAGTGTAGATTGCTCAGGGAGCCTGTCTCACGGGGGGAATAGGTCTACCATCCGGGTCACTACATTTCCAGTGGCCTCCATGGCCATCTCCCCACACCCATTTTCCCTCTTCCAGTCCAGGTTCACCCACGTTACCCCAGCTACAAATCAACACCTCCCTGAAAAGCCCATGAGTCACAAACTGATTTTCCAAGCCCGAGCTGCATGGGAAACAGATTCTGGCCCTGAGCTGTAAATTTTCAACTGGGAGAGTCAGACCTGCCTGCAGCTGAGAAATACCTGGTTATTCTTTTACCTCTCTCTGCAAACTCCTGCAAGGAATCTAAGATGCTGGGCCCCCATGAACCATCCCACAAGCTCCTAAATGCTTATCCAATCAAGACTGCCAAAGCTCCAGCTCTGCCTGCCTGCCTTGCAAGGGGCTCCCTTCCTGCTGGTCCCCCAGCCCACCACTGGATCGTCTGTTCTGCACAGACACAACAGTCTTCAGGTCAGACAGACCTCTGGAAGGCAGCCGATGGTTATTTTTTCAAGTACCATCAAGGAAAACTGGAGATAAGTCCAGCTGAGGCTGCACAGTCAAGGACCCTCTCCTACCTTCTGTGGGGCTTGTCTGGACTTAGAAAGAGAAACTGCTGAAAGCAAGAGGACTTGCCCCTGCTGACTCCCTGGGAGTCACTTTTATGACAGCATCAGCTCCACAAATTCCCTCACCTGCCAGGGCACTGGATATTCTACCCAAGGCCTTCTGGATGGGTGGCGCCACTTGAATTCGCAGCGAATCCGAATTCCAGTTAAGGCACAGCTCCTACTGCAGGGAGGTAAAACTTGACGCTCAGGGTCTCCAGGAGCCAAAGATAAGAAAGAATGCAGGGAGATGCCCTCTTCCAGGTGCTGGATTTGTTGCTTCACTCACTTCAACCAATCTGGGTCTGGCCCAGTGTTGGGAAGCCGTGGGGCTATACAATGACTCCAACAGTGACGTGGCCTGAAATTGCTCAACACTCCCCTACAATTCCAGAACTGTAGCCCTGTGAGAGGGCTTTCCATCCCCTTGGATGGAAAGCAGGCTTAGAACTAGAACCCCCAGATCCATGCTGATGGGATGCTGGGCAGGCAGACAGGGTCGGGCAGGACCCCTGGGTACCTAGAACATACTCACTTATCACACCCTTGAGTGTGAAGCTCAGAACAGGCATCAGGGTCACTGTGCAGGAGTGTCCCGGCTTAACCTTTGTTTTGTTGCCAGACTGGGCCTCCGTGCCATTCTCAGCAATGTGGGCAGGCATCAGCCCCAGGGCTCAGCTGATCCTTGGCTGATAGGAGGGCAGCTTCCCTGTGTCCCTGGGAATAAAAGAGGAGGCCTTTATTAGCTTAATCCGCCGCAGCTCGCAGCTCCGAGCCACCAGGCCAGCCCAAGAGTTAAATCCAAGGCTCAGGGCTCTGTACCAGGTCACCAGGAACCTAGAACCTACCATCTCACCTCTACTGCCCTGTGTGCTCAGGTCTGGTTAATCCAGCCATGAGAGCCTGGGACCTTTCCTGCGGAATTCACGTGTGGGATTAGAATTGAGGGCTTCTTGGGCCATGAGTGAATGAACGTGTGCACACTTGTAAATCTCAGAAGGGATATAATTTTAGAATCCAGCTCCATTCTCAGCTTCCAGTTACACTGTCACCTTCACCCTGCAGTGGGGACATCTGTTACCAAGGACAGTTGAGAACCTCACAGAAGGCACACAAGGTAGGGCGTTTGTTTTAGCGTTTTAGGGATCAAATACAACAACACAGAAAAACAGGCAAACAAAATGTGTGCTAAGCCTCTTACTGTAACCCACCTCTCCAATATTCATCTCATTATTACTGTTGAGGCCCTTCCTATGAACACTGGCAACTGGCTACAAGCTAGTATAAATCTTACTTTGTAAGGTTTCTGGCTGCATATATGTTTTTATTCATATCTCCAAGTCTTGACCATCTAAGACAGACGGATGCCCAGACTCTTTGTTCTAATGTGAAGGTGCTGAGGCTTCCTGGGAAATCCCCTTGACACAGCACTGTCTGCACAGGGCCTCGGCCCAGCAGGGTGGCTGCCAAGAGAAGCTGAGAACAGTGTGTGGCCCCATGTTTTGACCACCCAAGCAGGGTGGACCACAGAGGTGCCAGCCTGTACTGACACCCAGGCTCCCTTCCCCTCCCCCTGGCTCTGAGAGCAGCAAATCCTCTCCCTTTGTCCCTTAAGCTGACAACTTAGGAGGCAGCAAGGGATCTGAGAAGGGTAAGTGCAAGGGCAGGTTGGGAAACTTAAACACCCCCTGTAATGTGCTTGGTGGGGGGCCCCCAATGGATCTCCCCCAGGGCCATTGCACTGGGGGAAAGTGAAAGGCGGAGGCGTCACATGTGACATGCTTTGGGCTGCTGTGCTCTGCCTTGCCTGTCCCTCCCGAGGCCCTCCAGGAACAGGAACCTCCAGCCCTCCCCGACCTGTCCGGGCCCCCTCCCCTCTCCCAACCTGCCTGATGGTAGGCAGAGGTCACCCAGGCACATACCTACCACCTCCAGGAAAGGGCCTTAATGGGGCGTGTCAGAGGCACCCTCCTACCAGCAACGCCATGACCCACAGCTTGGGGTGTCCCGTCACCCGTGGGCAACTTCCCTTTCCCTGAGCCCTAAGCAGCCCACAGTAAACCACAAGTCAAAAGAGAAACAGAAACCAAAGACCACATCCTGCCAGCAGAGCCTGCCTGGGGCTGCAGTCAGCCCTGGAAGCTGGTTGCTGGCTGAGGCACTGCCCTGGCAGATGAAGCCCCAAAGGTCAGAGCAGGTCCCTCCAGGAGCCAGCCTCCTGCTTCCTGGGCTGAAGCCCCCCTGCTGCCAGTTCCCCAGTGGGGGGGACAAGATGCTAGTGGAGCAGGGGTCCCTGCAAGAGCACAAGCTGTCCCAGCTCCCTCTGACACTCCCTGGCCCTCAAGAGCAGGCCGTAGGGGTCAGAGCCGGAAGTTTTTGGAGCACACAAATATGTGAAGAGCCCTTCAGCAACTCACAAAGCAGAACTGAGGCTTTTTCAAGTATATCACCTCATGATTCTCCCAGGACGCCTGTGGGACAGGAAGGGCAGAAATGGCCCCCCATTCTAGGGATGAAAACACTGAGGCTTGTCCTAACGCATACATTTGATTCAAACCCCAATTCCCATGCACTGGTCACCCCTCTCCCTGCACAGTATGCCTCCAAACTGCTTCCCACCCAAGCCTCACCCTTAAGGCACCGTCTGCACAGATCTTTTCTTTTTCAAAATTTGTTCTAATTAGTTACACATGACAGTAGAATGAATGCATTTGAAACATCATACATAAATGGAGTACAACTTCTTGTTCTGATTGATGGTACATGATGTAGAATTACACTGATCATATAATCACATGTGCACACAGGGTAATAATGTCCGATTCATTCTATTAACCTTCCTACCCCAACCCCTCCTTCCCTTCACTCCCTTTGGCTAATCCAAAGTACTTTTATTTTTCCCTAGCCTACCCCATCTTATTGTGATTAGCATCTGCGTATCAGAGAAAACATTCGGCCTTTGGTTCTTTGGGATGGGCTTATTTTGCTTAGCATGATATTCTCCAGCTCCATCCATTTACTGGCAAATACTGAGAAGTGTAAGGGTAAGGGCAGGTTGGGAAACTTAAACACCCCCTGTAAGTGTGCTTTGTGGGGGGCACCCACTGGGTCTCCCCCAGGGCCACTGCACTGGAGGAAAGTGAAAGGTGGAGGCATCACATGTGACATGTTTTGGGCTTAAAGAAGAATTTCATTCTTCTTTAAAGCTGAGTAATATTCCATTGTGTATATATACCACATTTTCTTTATCTATTCATCCGTTGAAGGGCACCGAGGTTGGTTCCATAGTTCAGCTATTGTGAACTGAGCTGCTATAAACATTGATGTGGCTGAATTACTGTAGTATGCTGATTTTAAGTCCTTTGGGTTAAAACTGAGGAATAGGATAGCTGGGTTAAATGATGGTTCCATACCAAGTTTTCTTAGGAATCTCCATCTGCTTTCCATAGTGATTGCACCAATTTGCAGTCTCATCAGCAATGTATGAGTGTGCCTTTTCCTCACATCCTCGCCAACATTTATGGTTGCTTGTATTCTTGATAACTTATATTCTCACTGGAGTGAAATGAAATCTTAGTGTAGTTTTGTATTTCTTTGTGTCTGTTCAGTTCCTTTGCCCATTTATTGATTGTATTATTTGGGTCTTTTTTGGGGGGGGTATTAAGTTTTGAGTTCTTTATATATCCCAGAGATTAGTGTTCTAACTGAGGTGCTTGTGGTAAAGATTTTCTCCCATTCTGTAGGCTCTCTCTTCAAATTGTTGTTTCCTTGGCTGAGAAGAAGCTTTTTGGTTTGATTCCATCCCATTTATTGATTCTTGATTTTTATTTCTTGCACTTTAGGAGTCTTCTTAAGGAAGTCAGTTCCTAAACCAACGTGTTGAAGATTTGAGCCTCCTTTTTCTTCTATTAGGCGCGGCGTCTCTGTTCTAGTTCCTAAGTCTTTGATCCACTTTGAGTTGAGCTTTGTGCAAGGTGAGAGATAGGGGTTTAATTTCATTTTGCTAGATATGGATTTCCAGGCTTCCCAGCACCATTTCTGAAGAGGCCACATTTTGTCTAATGTAATACAGTGCACAGGCCTTTCATTCAATGTGATCACTCAGTCCATCCTGAGAGTCTTTTTTTTTTTTTGTACCAGGGATTGAACTCAGGGGTACCTAACCACTGAGCCACATCCCCAGCCCTATTTTGTATTTTATTGAGAGACAGGGTCTGACTGAGTTGCTTAGCGCCTCACTTTTGCTGAGGCTAGCTTTGAACTTAAGATCCTCCTGCCTCAGCCTCCCGAGCCGCTGGCATGACAGGCGGGCACCACTACGCCCAGTCTGACAGTCTCTTACTTTACATGCAGCTGACTTTTTCTATCCAGCTTCTCCATCAAATGCCTGAGGTGCTCCTGAGAACTTGAAGCAGCAGGAACCACATGTGGTGTCAAGCCCTGTCATCTTCTGCCTTTTCAGCAGCCCACCCACTCCTGCTCCTTCCAGACCCTGTTTGCACGTCACTCCCCTGTGAGGCCGTCCCACAGCCTTGGGCTCATCCCATCACCAATGCTCCCCCACCCCCGACTTTGACCACGCTTCCTTTGGCATGTGTTCCATCTGAAAATTATTTCGTATGTGACTGTATGCCTTACCAGATGATGAATTCCTAGAGACTACGGAACTTCTGCGGGATAGATAGACAAGATGGAGGAGAGTCCAGCTAGATTGTTGGGTGATGGAGTCATCCAGTGTTATTAACCAATCTTAGCAATGTCTGGTGTTTGTCTCTAATTCCTAGGGTGCTATCATGGAAAGGTTCACTCCCGCTGCACACCATAAGATTGGGTCTACAAAGCAGGCATCCTGAGAGACACTGCAGGCTCCTACGTGGGCAGCGGGCCAGGCCAGAGAATAACAATGCCTACTCTGTTATTGCTACAACTTTCAAAAGGCACAGCCAGTTTTCACGCACGAGGATTCATTTCCCAAAGAGGTTTAACCAGCAGCTGCTGGCAGGAAATTCCCTCTGCATCGTTTTCTCTCCTCTGTAACTATTTAGGGTAAGCTGGGCTTGCAGGATTGAGTCTCTGCTTCTTTGACCAGAACCCAAATCCTTTGGCCCCTCCTACCTCCATGGCCTGGAACCTAAGACTACAGCAGGAAAGTGTGTGGCAAATGCCATCCTCTTTTCTTTCCCACCCTCCTCTTCTTTAACACCCCCCTCCACCGCCAAATCTCCCAGTAAAGGGAAAAATAAAGTATACTCACACTTGACACAGAATACCTGTGACTGGTCTACCCTGTCCCCTCCCCCGCCACCACACAGTTCTCCAGGGGACAGCAGTACTTATCCTACAATTCATTTTAACTCTGACACTATCTAACCCAAGATAATACCAGACTCCACATTTGAGGGCTCGGTCCCACCAGACTGCCCCCATTTCAGATGCCAATCAAACTTAGGTTGTCATTTATACCTTTTTTTTTTTTTTTTGGTAGTAGGGATGGAATCCAAGGGGGCTTTACCACTGAGCCACATCCCCAGCCCTTTTTATTTTTATTTTTTTATCTTGATACAGGGTCTTGCTAAGTTCTTAAAGTTTGGCCTCGAACTTGGGATCTTCCTGCCTCAGCCCCCCAAGTGACATGAGCCACCAGGCCCGACTTGTCACATATACAACTGGTGACAAACTAGGGTTCCCATAACTCCTGCTGGGGTCTGATTAATTTGCCGGCATGGCTCACAGAACTCATGGAAACACATACCTTAAGCAGGTACAGTTCACCCCGCTAGTAACTTCCGTGTTCAGCAACCGAGGAGCTCGTTAAACTTTGTTCAAGGGTTTTTATAGAGCTTCATCTCCAGCCCTCCCTACCCACCCCCCTTTTCCTGGAAGTTGGTGGATGGGACTAAAAGTTCCAATCCTTTAATCTTCTGATCTCTTGATTTTTGGTGATTGGCTCTCCCATCCAGAGGCCAGTTAGGAGACTCCACCCCAAGTATCTTATCAGCGTAAACTCCAGTGGCACTTTGCCCTTGAGCTACCTTTCCAGCCTTTTGTTGTTGTCCTTGGTGGTGGTGCTTGTTTGCTTGTTTGTTTGTTTGTTTTTGAGACAGGGCCTCACTAAGTTGCTGAGACTGGTCCCCAATCTGCTATCCTCCTGCACCACCAGGTGTTGTTAAAGGGGCTCTGATAAATAACAAAAGACATTCCTATCACTCAGGAGATTCCAAAGGTTTTAGGGTTCTGTAGGGATCAGAAAAAGAATGAATATATTTCATATTATATACATTTCCCTGTACCCAGGTGCCCACGAAATAAAATGAGCCCCAAAGACCCTTTAGGGAGTCTCCCAGTTTTCCCACAGGACCCAAAGCAATTGCTTTTACTTATCCTATGGCAAGACCAACCCTAAGCACTAGTGGATTTGGCAACTTCCCAAACCAAGGAGTGACCACGAGTAGCTTCCCCCCAGGGAAAGGCCTTGTCCAGCCAGATCTCCCTGGGAAGCAAGGAGGGAGCATAGGAAAGTGGGTGGGGATGGCAGCAGCTCCCCCGACTGCACTTGACCTTGTCTTCCACTCAGCAGCCTCCCTCTGGGCGTGGGCCTGATTTCCCAGCTGCCTGACATCTTGCCCTATCTTCTGTTTCACTCAGAGGCCACCTTGTCCTGCCACCCTCTTCCCCTGCCTTTTCCTTCCCATCCAGCTCCTATACCCTCAATGCCCCTTCCCATATCCCTCTGAGTACAATTAATCCATCGGATTGCTCAATTCCTGCCCCTGGGAGGGTGGTCCCTGGACGTCCGCCTCTTTCCCTTCCCAACCATCCC